AACACTAAAATTGCCTTGTGCTACAAGATGGGGAAGTCATGTTACTTCGTTAAAAAGTTTGAAAGCAAATAAGATAGCTTTGCAAATATTAACAGTTAGAGAAGATGTGGTAATTTCAAGAGATATTAAAGATTTAATTCTAAGTGATGATTTCTGGACGAAGACAGGGGAATGTATAAGTATTTTGGAACCAGTCACTGAAAGCATATTTTACTTAGAGAGCGACCAGAATCGTTTGCATCGCACATACATTACATTTAGAGATGTACAAGCTAAGATACGTTTTGCATTAAATGAGATTTCGACATTGAGCGAAGAAAGCAAACAGCAGATTCTAACATCAGTATCTTCAAGATGCAATATATATACATTTTGCAGCATATATTCTAGACCCCAGGACTCTAGGAGTCGAACTTACTCAAGAGGAAGAACTTAAGGGTATGGAGTTTATCTACAATTTAAGCCAACACTTAATATATATTTGGCGTGTTATAAAGCTAAAGAAAACTTTTGGGCCAGAGGATTTGTATGGAGCTCATTAGATAGCATTGAGCCCCTAATATGGTGGAAAGGTATTTGTGGTTCCACTGAGTTAAGCAAAGTAGCGATTCGTATTCTATCAGCTCCCTGTACTTCGGCAGCCACTGAGCGTTCCTTTAGTATCCAAGGCTACATACATAATAACAAAAGAAATCGACTTACAACTGAAAGAACTGAAAAAATTTCATTCATTTGTTATAACTGGAATCTTAAACATAAAGCTGAATGCGAGGACATTCAGTTTAATGAAGAAAATACCTTAGAAGCTTTCATTGAGCAAGTAAATGAACATAACAGTTTAGACGAAATAGAGCCTATCGAACCTATACAATTCATCGCTTGTAATAACTCTGAATCTGACAGTGATTGACTGTAGTTTTACATTTTACTTTCATCTCTTTCTTAATAAACTCAAAATCAAATTAAAAGTTTTTTATTCTGTAGGCTGCATAATAATATTGTCTATGTCCAGTATAGTGGACGTCTTGCGGCTGAGATGACGATGATGAAGTACAAAATCATAAACACCCAAAAATTTGGGTGTTTATGGGGTTTAAACCCAATAAACCCAAAACACCCGGTTTTTACCCACCAGACTTTAAACCCACCCAGGTGGATTGCCCATCTCTAGTCTCGACTCGTGATAAATGGGTTTTGACAACGAGCAACGTTACTGCCTTGTAAAATGGCCAAGTTGAGATGTTTAAGTGAAAATGTAAGGAAAATTTATACAGTGTAATGAGGTGTCCAAATATTTAACAGTCATTTAAAACTTTTATGTAAGAAAATGTAGATTTTTACACTCACTAACTAATAATATATATATATTAGAATATATATATATATATATATATATATATATATATATATATATATATATATATATATATATATATATATATATATATATATATATATATTATTATTATTATTGTATATATTATATAATGATGATATATATATATATATAGTATACGTAGCCGGTAGATTTTCGACACAGTGCAGGACATTTATCTTAATTTTTGTGGTATTTATGGTACAATTCAACTCTATAGGTAACAGTACCACGAAATGCATAAAAGGAAAAATAACTCTGTGATTTTATTATTATATATATATCTATATATATATTCATTTATTTATCCGAGATTAATCTGTGCGACTCAACGGAGTACTTAGACTACTAAATTTTTTTAATTTGTAAAATAAATATTTATTTTTTTCTGTAATGATATAACAGTCTATATATCTAAAACGTATTTAAAAAAATATTTAACACACAATCATTACACTGCTACCAACAAAATCAACTATGTAGGTGACATCGTTACCAACACACCTAAGGCCCCGCTCACACTCCCAAGTGTACGCGGGGCCTTATGTTATTTACGTGTGTTGGGCACGTGACGAAGGATTTATCTCGGCAAAGGACATTTTATCATAATTTTACAAGTTCCTGAACAATAATTAACTGAGCGTTGTTTTATACTTAAATAAGATTAATCCGTGCGTATTATTAGGTCAGTTTGGTTGGACTGGAATCTTGTTTAACCGACATCAAAATAAGGAGGTTCCCAATTCGGTTGTATTTTTTTATTTCATTGCCTTTTAACTCCGTCACCTGTGAACCGATTTGGTATTTTATTTTATCTGAAAATAGAGGATAAAAGAACGTTAAAGTATACGGCCCGCTGGATGATTATCAAAATCACTTATTTGGTTGATAATCCTTCGTGTCCTCATCTCAGTAACAAAGTTATTATTTATTTAATTTCTCAAGTGCCATTATTTATATTAATTATAAATGTTTCCAAGAGAAACGGGCATAATAAAAGTAAAGTCAAGAAAGTAATATCTTTTAATTAATTTTAATTCCCCTTTTAAAAGCGGCCATTACAATAATACTCGAAAATAAATATCCCTTTGTGCAATCAAGAGCTATTGTCTACTCTCAAGACGTTTATATTGTCTGTGGTTACTTTAAAAAATATATATATTACAAAAATATTCTTACTGATATCGTAAACATGATAGTGAGTTTGTTTGTCCGTTTATTACCCTTACCCTGTCTTAATAACTCGACCAATTACTATAAAATTTTATATAAACGTACTATATTGGTTGGAGAAAGAGTCTACTTTCTTTGTGTCTCGGTATCTCGGTTACACAGACGACGTCGCGGGTAAAAGCTAGCCATGAATAAATTGAACTGTCATTAATAAAATCATTTATTTATTTATACTTTATTGTACACAACAAATTACATTAATAGAATTTATTTAAATAAAGATGTAAGATAGGCGAGATTAACTCTGTAAAGGTTCTCTTCCAGCAAACCCTGTACTTATCAATATTTTCCTAAGAAATACTGCAAAGATCTCATTGGCATGGGTAAGTTTATCCCACTCTTGATTTTACCATCAAAAAATTGCCATAAAACCTTACGGTATATTTTGTAATATACCTGATAAGCAGAGAAATTACACAAAAAGAAATAACTTAAAAAAAAAGTGGAGAAATTAGTCCTTACAGATTGCAACGCATAACCCCTTATGCGTGGAGGAAAGGGATTGTTAGTTATGAGGTCTAATAGCCCCATTGCTAGCAATTGATCCTCTCAGGTCGACCTTCACGCGATTTCCCCTGGAAACTATCATGGTTAATTCATGTCGAATTCATCATGGTAGACTAACTGACCTGCATTCATTCTCACCTATCATCTTCCACTTGTGCCTCGCCGGTGTATACCGATAGCGCGGGCGGGGTTATCATTCCATTTTCATATATAAAAAAAACCCTTATGCGGTATCATTCCTAAACACCTAGCCACAGGCATCACAGTCTATTCTATAATATTGATGGCGCTTAGAGAAATTAGTTCTCAGGATCGACAAAGCACCGTGTGGTCCCGGCATAGAACAGGTCACTGCTTCCTTTCTCGTGAGTATCGTAAGAGGCGACTAAGAAAGAACGAAGGATGTGTAGCAGCGTCCCTCTTAAAACATCTCCAAAGCTTAACTGCGGTTGTTAATCCGCCTTCCCAGAGTCGTAATTACTAGTAAAAACTGCCAAAAGGGAGACATATTTAGCAGTGGACAGTAAAGGCTGATATGATGAAGAGGTGGGCTGAATGGTACGACTCAGTGTCCTCAATAATGCACTTATTTTTATTAGAATTTCGAATAAAACAGTACACAACATGCACTGTAATGAGTCAATACAATAAAAATGGCGGGAAAGTAATCTATTTCTATTTGTTAACAGTGTTGTCAATTTAATAATTGAAAAATTGTTGGCTGGTGTTGCCAACAGTTGCCACTTTCTGAAATTATTCTTTAATGTACAAGAATTTACCGTTTAATATGTTTACTTTTAGTGATAGACCACCTTTTATATTTTTTTTTACAACACAGGGGGCAAACGAGCATGCAGCTCACCTGATGGTAAGTGACTACCGCCGCCCATGGTCACCCACAACACCAGCGGCATTGCAAGTGTGCTGCCAACCTTTTAAAAAGGAATATGCTCTTTTCTTGAAGGTTATGTTGTCGTATCGGTTGCTGGAAGTTGATTCCAAAGAGACCTTTTATATAAATTTGCCAGTTTAGATTTAATATTTTTCTATTTGCAATATAACTTTATAACTTTTTTATTTTCATTTTATTGACATTTATATAATTTTTATTGCCTTTGTAAAGGAAATAAAAACTGATAAGTTTCTAATCACATTTATTTTTTGCCGCTGTCCTTCCCTCCTACCAGCGCACAATTAAAAAAAACATTTTTCGAATCTATTATCAGATTAGCTCTTTATATCAACCATAATATTGCATTGATAAAGAATTCTAGTGTTCCACATTGTAAAATAGAGAATAACACGTTACTGGCAACCTAACCCGGCTTTACATGAGTGCTATTAAATAAAGAAAAATATAATTGAAAGCTAAAAATATGTTTGTCGTTTTATAACCTATATTTCTGTAAGAATAATATTCAATTTTAGTGACTAAACATTATTTTAAAATTACGCTAATAATTTCGAGTTTTCTTTGAGTAGTTGTGAAAATATTAATTTCAAGATAATTCCCAGATAAATAACAGAAATTTGCCGTTCTAAGTTGTAAAAAAATTACAAAAAAAACAATGGTTAATTTAATCAAAGAAATAAATTTCATAGATTTACTTTTAATTTTGTCTAAACAAATACTACAAAACTTTTTACTTTTTAAAAATCACATTATTAATGTGATTTTTTGATTCTATTGGATAAACTAAAAAAAAATCATTTATTGAAAAGTACGTTAACAACAGTGAATAAAATGAATTGTTTTTTTTTTAATCCTGATATGAAAAAAAACGCCTAATCGTGTTGCTAGTAATCAGTAAAATAATTAATTCATTTTAAAAATATAACTCTATTTATATATTGAAATCTTAATTAACTATTCATTAAAACTTACCAAATGAAATCTTCAAACAAAACCACTACGTCTTCTATTTCTAAGTATTAGAACACGGCAATATCCCAAACATAACTGGCAACAATTATTATGCAAAAAAAAAGTTTCAAAACGAATTTTTAAAAAAGGAATAACGTTCGAGAAACAATCACGTTTTCCCGCCAAGCGAAAGTTGTCGAGCAATAACACGCCCGCCTTTCGTAGCAGTTGCGACTGCACTGGGCGGTCGGTCGGTAGGCGGCAATGTTGCCAACTGGGTTACAGAGTTACTAGCTAATCTATGTTTTAAAAGAGGCTACCAAATCTGAAGCTAGAATTCCAAATCAGTATTGAAGTCATAAGCAGATGTGACTAAAAATATTGAACCATTAAATGTAGTCCAAATCCATTCATCAGCTGTCCACTGATGAACAAAGGCCTCCCCCATTTAGGGAGTTATTGGGGTATTGCCAGTAGTTGCCACATTTAATTCAATATATTTAAAGTGTAAGTAGAAATATTATATAAATTAAAATATTTATTTAGTAGTAGACGATTTTCAAATAGTTGCTAGGTTTAGTTAAAAAATGGCCAAAGTAGCAACTGTGTAGGCGACAGCCCGTAGCTGTGAAAACGTTGAATGTAGAGATGGGCAATCCACCTGGGTGGGTTTAAAGTCTGGTGGGTAAAAACCGGGTGTTTTGGGTTTATTGGGTTTAAACCCCATAAACACCCAAATTTTTGGGTGTTTATGATTTTGTACTTCATCATCGTCATCTCAGCCGCAAGACGTCCACTATACTGGACATAGACAATATTATTATGCAGCCTACAGAATAAAAAACTTTTAATTTGATTTTGAGTTTATTAAGAAAGAGATGAAAGTAAAATGTAAAACTACAGTCAATCACTGTCAGATTCAGAGTTATTACAAGCGATGAATTGTATAGGTTCGATAGGCTCTATTTCGTCTAAACTGTTATGTTCATTTACTTGCTCAATGAAAGCTTCTAAGGTATTTTCTTCATTAAACTGAATGTCCTCGCATTCAGCTTTATGTTTAAGATTCCAGTTATAACAAATGAATGAAATTTTTTCAGTTCTTTCAGTTGTAAGTCGATTTCTTTTGTTATTATGTATGTAGCCTTGGATACTAAAGGAACGCTCAGTGGCTGCCGAAGTACAGGGAGCTGATAGAATACGAATCGCTACTTTGCTTAACTCAGTGGAACCACAAATACCTTTCCACCATATTAGGGGCTCAATGCTATCTAATGAGCTCCACACAAATCCTCTGGCCCAAAAGTTTTCTTTAGCTTTATAACACGCCAAATCTGCCATTACATTTGACAAACTTAAGTGTTGGCTTAAATTGTAGATAAACTCCATACCCTTAAGTTCTTCCTCTTGAGTAAGTTCGACTCCTAGAGTCCTGGGGTCTAGAATATATGCTGCAAAATGTATTGGCCTCATTGCCATATTGCATCTTGAAGATACTGATGTTAGAATCTGCTGTTTGCTTTCTTCGCTCAATGTCGAAATCTCATTTAATGCAAAACGTATCTTAGCTTGTACATCTCTAAATGTAATGTATGTGCGATGCAAACGATTCTGGTCGCTCTCTAAGTAAAATATGCTTTCAGTGACTGGTTCCAAAATACTTATACATTCCCCTGTCTTCGTCCAGAAATCATCACTTAGAATTAAATCTTTAATATCTCTTGAAATTACCACATCTTCTCTAACTGTTAATATTTGCAAAGCTATCTTATTTGCTTTCAAACTTTTTAACGAAGTAACATGACTTCCCCATCTTGTAGCACAAGGCAATTTTAGTGTTTGTGTAGAATCTTCACCCTGCCTTGATTTTATCAACAAGGAACTTAATCGTTGACTCCTTTTAACAGTTTTTATTATATTTATGGCTTGCATAATAAACACAGTTACTTCTTGTATCTTTACAATATCTTGGCACAACAAGTTAAGGATATGTGCACAGCAACCGAGAGGAACAACATGTGGATATTTGAGTTTTGTTAATTCGAATGCCTTTTGTATATTTCTAGCGTTATCGCCAATAAGTACAAGAAACTTATTTGCTCCATACACTTTCATTACTTTTTCAACTTCTTGGCTAAGGTATTCACTAGTGTGAGGATTACTTTCTGTATTCAAACTTTTAACGTATGCAGGTTGAGGTTTTGATATAAGAAAGTTTATTATTCCTTCATTTCTTAAATTAGACCAGCCATCGCACTGAAGGTGTAAGTAACTACAAGCATTTAGTTCCTCATTTAACTCAAAACGCATTTCTCTATATATTTTATCTAAGTATTTTGTCGCTAAAGCTTTACGTGAAGGTATTTTAAATTTTGGTTGCAATTTTTCGAAAAATTGTATCCATAAAGGATGTTGCACCATCGATAATGGCGTCCCTGTTACAAATATAGCTCTCGCTAATTCTGTTTTTATATGATCATCGGTGTCTTGAAACTCAGCATTTATTGTAGTGTTAGCAGACGACGAGGGGCTTATAAAAGAATCATTTGTCTCTATCTCTGACAGTCCAGACATTTTGGTTTTGGACGAGCTATCTTTTATAAGTTTCATAGAGTCTTTTAATGTTTCTGGAGATTTTGGACAAGTGATAAGATGTTGAAGCATTTTGGCAGCATTACTGAATTTGTAGACCTTATTACAAAGCTTGCAAGAAACAGACTTGTTTGGTAAAGTACGGTAGTGCTCCCATATGCGTAAATCTTTAGGTCTCCCCATTGAACCTAAAAAAATGAACGATGATTAGTTGGTCTGACGAAAATTCAACAATAGAGTGCCTATTTTTTTACAATGATTATTTCTTGTTATTTACAATAAATTTATTAAAAAAATAATAAAATAAATACAAAAAACCTTTGTAAAATTACATCTCCTCGGAGGATTAAACGCAGACGCTAGTTTATTATCGTATTGTTCTGTATTTTTCTCAGCAACTTCTTTAATTCGATTAGGTACTTACGCATATTATGTTAAAAATAAATATCTAGTACACATCTTAGGCTATCCACCATTATTATCCAATGACGACTCTCAGCTAACTATGCACTATCATCCAAAATAAACGTGTATGGAAAATTTTATCCCAGTCGGTTGAGGATTGAGGATAATTGCATCAACATACGAACATACCTACATACTTTTATTTACATAACGCAAGCTAAATAAAAGCTTGTAATAATACATCTAATTTTAAGTTAAAATTGTTAAGTGATCATGATATAATTGTATCATTCAAAAATCCACTTACCTTTAATTATTTCTTGTTAAGTATAAATATTATTTCAAATCTGCTCCCTTAATATGCACTTTTTTACTGCTTTTCCTACCTAACACGTTACCAGGAAGTCACGTTACCAGAGTCAGAGTAATAGTGAACACGTTTGACAGTGATTGTCGTCGCCTCATATTCAGCGTCGACGAATAGGGGAATCCCCAGTCATAATGTATTGCATGCGTGGCGGTCTTACTTCAAATCCATAAACAAAGAGATAATTACAGAACTCGATACTAGATGGCGCTGTTTTTGTTTGAAGAAAGTTTGCGGGCTAAAATACATAGAATTTCATCAATGACTTCCACAGAGAACATTTCTGTTTTTTCTAAGTCCGTATCTCTTCCGTATATTTCATAAGATATAAGCTTGGGCTACATTGTTATGCAACGTGATTTTGTCGCTGTCTTGCTAGCAGGGTTGACAGATATACGATTTAAATCGTACTCATACTATTATTTGTCTATTTTTTAATGTACGATCGTAAAGATTATGATCGTAATTCGCACAAAAACATACGACTTTTTGGTTACCTGGCAACATTTTTATTATGAAACGAACATGCTCACATCATCAGTCACATGCAACAATTTATTGGGGATTTCCCCTTCACATCTGGCAGTCCTGCTTGCTAGAATATAGGTAAGTCAGCCACAGTTACTGACGATCGATATTTAAAGGGTATTGTTTTTGTGCTAAATATTTCATAAAAACGTTATTTAATACTTTGTGGATTATTAATTTAGTTGATAATCACTGGAAGTAAAATGGATGCTAATTTGAGAGATCAAGATCTTCGTATAAAACAGTTAATAAAAGAAAATCTACGTAAGTACTCTTTTTATACCTAGGTAGGTAAGGTATAATAAACACAAAAGGTACTTAGATCGCGTGTGTTCGAAGCATTTATTCTAATAAATTTAATTTAAAATTGTAGAAAGAAAAAAATGTCTGCCAAGCCGTAGCCGAAGCCGATCTCCAAATATATTTGGCGATAGTGAGACCCAGTGTCCAGATGATTTACCCAGCGTCGTCGCAACAAAGAAAAAAAACGAGGATAAAGTAAAAGAAAATTTACTGAAAGAAGAAACAAACTGTTCTAAATGCTTAATTTATGGAGAAGAGGATAAAAGAAATGAGTATTTCGGACTGTTAGTGGCTCAAGAATTTAAATATATACGGCCATGTGTGCGAACGAGGTGTTATGAAGAAATTTTAAAGTATCTACGGGAAGCAAAAGGCCAACATGTTGATCAACTGCAACATGAAAACACTGAAAATTAATTACTTTCATTTTATTATATATAGATTTTTAAAATTTCCTGAAATATTATTAGTTAACGTTTTATTTAATATTGTAGAATTGATCAATACAATTTATAAAAATAATTTATTGGTATTACTTACATATTTTCAAAAAAATACGTAAAAACCTATTTTTTTGGGTGATTATGGGAGTTTATGGGTGTTTATTGGGTTTTTACCAAAGCACCGGGTTTAAACCCGGTGCTTTGCCCATCTGTAGTTGAATGATATCTTGTTTCAAGTTTGAGGAGCTCATTAGAAATGTATCTGAAGAGTCGGGGGTACGCGGAGGTGATTTATATTATTTTATAAAAAAAATTTTAACATACACAACATGATATTATTAGCGTTCTTTTAAGAATAGATTTTTACAGTCACGTACTGTGCGGTTTCAGAGATGTTTCCTCCCACGAACACTCAGGTTGTGGAATGAGCTCCCTGCCAAGGTTTTCCCAAGAGACTACAGCATGGGGTTCTTCAAAAGGGGGATAAAGAGGTTTCTTCAGGGTCGGCAACGCGCGCGTAATACCCCTGGTGTTGCAGGTGTTCGTAGGCTACGCTAACCACTTACCATCAGGTGGGCCGTATGCTTGTTTGCCACCTCAGTGGTATAAAAAAAAGGGCTAGTCCGTTCTTTGCCATATCATCATATTCAACTATTCACTGTTGAATATAAGGCAGGGGTTTTGCTAGTAGTTGTCACGCTTGGCAAGCGGATTGGCAACCGCAGTTAGGCTTTGAAGATATTTTAAGAAGGACGCTGGGGATTTTAGGGTCGTCTGGGTATAACGCTAATTAAATATGACATCAAATTCAAGAGCTGTCAGTCATGAAATACACTTACTCATTATGAAACTGTCCAATCCATGTCAGCCATGTTTGGTGGGCTAAGTTTTGATTTGTAATTCATGAAATCATTATGAAGTTTGTTGCAAACTTAAATCGACTTCTCTTGTATTGTAACACATATTTAAACATTCAGTCCATCGAGAACAATCGACACGATTCTCAACTGTCTTGCCTTGATAATAAGACCGTTTTATGAAACGAGTATTCGAGGGTAGCTGCAGGTGAATCATTGCCTAGACTTCGCAACACTGAGTGACATTGACACATTTTTTAAAGGCGCATTATAATTTCGCGTTGTTTTTTATCAGTTACAAATTTCGTGGGTGGTAATTTTAAATGTAACAAACTAACTCTCCAATGATTGTAAATACCGATAACAATCCTTGTTAATGTTAAAGATTTTATTTATTTTTACTTTATTGACCACGTTACAAAAAGAAGTCTAGAACAAATACTTATATAGTCCGCCTTTTGTACCAGACTTTTTTTTTGCTATCTCACCCAGATTGGTAACTTAAAAGAGAAAAACATAATGATATTTATTTATTTGTTTGTTTGCTTGTTTGTTTACTTGTCCATTTTCTTGCTTATCCGCTCACTCGCTCGCTCGTTTGATTGATAACTTGCGGGTATAAGGGATTGTTAGCAATGGAGTTTGACAGCCCCATTGCTAGCAATATGCCTTATCAGGTCAACCTCCACGTGGTTCCCCCTGGAAACTATCGTGAATAATTCTCGTTGAATTCATCACGATGGACTAACTGACCTGCTTCATCCTCATCTATCATCCTTCACTGGTGCCCCGCCGGTGAAAACCGATAGCGCGCGGGGGGGGGGGGGGTTACATTATCATTATCACCTATAAAAAAAAAATGATTACTTGCTTGTTTGTTTCTTTGTTTATTAATTTTATTGCACAATAAAATTTGTACAATTGTTTTCTCAGTGTGAACATTTCTTGTAATTGTTTGTATCTATTTATAATTACTTTACTACTATGATCTTTTGGATGAAACTATTGTATAAAGATTATCTATCTATCTATCTATATGTATGATTAAAATGAACCCGATTCACTGCTCCACTCAAACTCCGAGCAACTTTCATGTTGGACAAACTAGATTATTTGTTACTGTGCCTCCACTAACTGCAGCTCGCATTTCCAGTGAGCTGTATATTAACTGCGTTAGTATTATTTAATAGCCAGCTAAACTGATTACTCGACATTCATGATATATATATTTATATTTTATATATATAAAATATATAAAACATAAATATTTTTAAGAGTAGATTTAAAGAGCATCTTCTATCCTTATGAACATATATATTTTATATTATGTGTATGTGTGTGTGTGTAAATACATAATTATGTCTATGTATTTATATATGTGTATCGTCATCATTTCTGGATTTATCCGGCCATAGACTGCCATAAGGAACGGTCCTGAGCCGCCTGCATCCACTGACTCCCTACAATAACATATGTGTGTGTGTATATATATATATATATATATATATATATATATATATATATATATATATATATATATATATATATATATATATATATATATATATAAATGATTATGTATAAACTTAAGTTTGGCACAATATTGTACACCGCTCGACCCACTGACATCGATGCTCCTTTCCACTTTGGGTGTTGCTGGAAGAGAGCTCTTTTAAAGTTAAGCTCACCTTTGTACATTTGATTACCTCTGTCCTATTTTTATGTATTATTAGTGTGTACAAAAAAGGATAAATAAAAAAATAATAAAAAAAGTGTGGAGTAATAATTTAGCAGAAGGTGACTTTGTACAAAAGTCGTCTGCTTTTGTACAAAATCCTATCTCATTTGGATTTCGGTCGTAAAACAAATATATTTGTAAGTTTGTTTTTCGATTTGAAGGGTGAGAGATGAAAACTGTGAACAAATTATAGAGTACACCCTGTAATTAACGCTCGTATGTCATACCTCGCTTTTAGAACTATATTTTACTAAAATAGGTGTTACTTTATGGAAGTTCATATCACTGGTTATTTGATAAGAATTATTTAGTTTAATTTCGCTACCATTAGTATGTGTGCGATAGCCAACACTCGAAGATTGACCTCCACTATTACTACCAGAAGTTCCACAACCATCCATATTAGTCATACGATTAAAAAAAAATGTTTTTAATTAATTTTATGTTTCGATTTCTTACTAATTTAATTTAATATTTCTGTAACAATTACAATTAAAACAGATTATAAACTGTTGCCTTACTGTGGGCGTTGCACGAAAAACCTCAAGCTTATGAACCTTAGTACGGACCGCATAAGAACTATATTTAATTCATAATTCGAACATAAAAATAAATATCCAGGTAGAAGTGACACTTTTTTTGAGTACCTAAAATACCTATCAATCATATCAGGGTATGCAAAAATAAATACTGCGGTAGGACCGTTTCTCACGTTCACTCACATATATGTTAGTCAGTAATTTTTTAATGCAATTAAATTACTTTGAAAGAAATTGAAGGGAAGAACAAAATATTTCGGCAGCATTATCGCAAAGTACCCATAACCAACGAGTGCGTATGAAAAGATTGATGAATGTGGATGAAGCGAAAGAGGCTCGTTTGAATCGAAGCATTTGGTATTCCATTGTTTCTGCCTACCCTAATGGGGAACAGGCGTGACAGATATGTATACATATAAGCACAAAAAAAAATTAAATTACATAAGGAAAAGTTTGACGTGTAGGTCCCGTCATAGAATGGGCCACCCCTTCCTTTCCCGTGGGTGTCGCAAGAGGCGACTAAGGAAGCTTATGGTGGAAGGATAGGCAGCAGTGTCCCTCTTAAAACATCTCTAAAAGTATAAGTGTAGTTGCCAACCCGCTTGCCAAGCGTAGCAACTACTAGCAAAACTCCCTTATAAAGAAGGCTTATGTTCAATTGTGGGCAGTTAACGTTAATAGGATAATAATAGTAACATTTATATAAAAAATTGTAAACAATTAATGAATTGTTATATTTAAGTATTCGTTTAAAAATATAAAATATACCTATTCAGAAATTGGTTTAAAATGTAATAAAATAAATACCATGTAGATAGGGATACGTGAGTCCGTAAGCCGCCATGTATAATTCGTTGCTAGCTATTAGATCCCGGCTAAATATTTGATTTGTGCCGAGATGAGATTTAACCCGCCAGAATTATGAACGTCTGCCGCGTCTGGTTGTACTAGGGCGGAGGCACACTGAGAATACTGTTGTTACCTGTTAATTACCACATATTTAAATTTACTGATTTATTTATTTATTTACTTAATATTACGCCAAAAACATAAAAATATATACGGACAATTGGAAAATTCAAGTGAATTGCAGTAGTATAAAATGTAAATTAAAATATAAACATAAAGATACAAAAGGCAGTTCTAATAGATATTATCTGCGACTTCGTCTGCATGACGAGAATATATTACGGATCGGAACAAAAATCGGGATAAGAAATAATGTATGTCTTTTCCGTCCC